GTGAATTTTTAATTCGCGGGCGAATAGTGAAAAGTCAGTGTGCGCCGCCAAAGAATTATTTTTCTTACTGGCCGCTGAGTTTCATGGCAGTTTTTATTTTTTTCTCACAGAGATTAAGGGATGAAAGAGGGTTGTTTGGTGGGGAATTTAATTCTCCGTCGAACTGCTGTTTTTTCATCCCTTAATCTCTGTGAGAAAAAAATAAAAACTGCCATGAAACTCAGCGGCCAGTAAGAAAAATAATTCTTTGGCGGCGCACACTGACTTTTCACTATTCGCCCGCGAATTAAAAATTCACCTCTCCCCTCCTAATTGAGATTAAGGGATGAAAAAAGGGCAATTCGACGGAGAATTCAATTCTCCATTAATTAACCCTCTTTCATCCCTTAATCTCTCTAACAAAAAATACAAACTACGACAAAAGTCATGGGCCAGTGAGAAAAATAATTTTCTTCTCGGCGCACAGTGACTTTTCACCTTTCGCCCGCGAATTAAAAATTCACTTCCCCCCCTCTAATTGAGATTAAAAGATGACAAAAGGGCAGTTCGACGGAGAATTAAATCCCCCATCAGTTAACCCTCTGTCATCTCTTAATCTCTGCAACAAAACAATAAAAACTACCGACGGTAGTGGCCGTGCGGTTAGAGTGCTAGACTCGTATGCCAATGATCCGGATTCGCTTCCCGGCACCGGCAGTCAAAATTTATAGCGCTCTAATCTCACAGTTTCACTGCCGAGCGGTAGTCCCGTCAAAAAGGACGACTGTACCATGGCAGGTTTTTTCCTCGAATGAGGTTTTCCCTCCCTTCGGCAAATGGGGTACAGGGGGTTGAGGGGGGTGGGTACGGAACAAATCGTACAGACCCGAAAGGGTATACGAGAAGAAAAAAATTTGAAATTTAACAATAAAAACTGCCATCACACTCATGGGCCAGTAAGAAAAATCATTGTTTCGCGGCGCACGGTGACTTTTCACTATTCGCCCGCGAAATTCACTTCTCCCCTCCTAATTCAGATTAAGGGATGATAAAAAGCCAGTTCGACTGAGAATTAAATTCCTCATCTACTGCCCTTTTTTCATCCCTTAATCTCAATTAGGAGGGCAGAAGTGAATTTTTAATTCGCGGGCGAATAGTGAAAAGTCAGTGTGCGCTGCCAAAGAATTATTTTTCTTACTGGCCCCTGAGTTTCATGGCAGTTTATATTTTTTTGTTACAGAGATTAAGGGATGAAAGAGGGTTTATTGGTGAGGAATTTAATTCTCCGTCGAACTGCCGTTTTTTCATCCCTTAATCTCAATTAGGAGGGGAGAGGTGAATTTTTAATTACCGGGAGTCACTGTGCGCCGCGAAACTTTTGTTTTTCTCACTGGCCCATGAATTTCATGGCAGTTTATATTTTTTTTATTACAGAGATTAAGGGATAAAAGAGTGTTAATTGATGGGGAATTTAATTCTCCGTTGAACAGCCATTTTTTCATCCCTTAATCTCAATTAGGAGGGGAGAGGTGAATTTTTAATTACCGGAAGTCACTGTTCGTCGCGAAACTATTATTTTTCTCACTGGCCCATAACTTTCATGGCAGTTTTTATTTTTTTCTTACAGAGATTAAGGGATGAAAGAGGGTTATTTGATGGGGAATTTAATTCTCCGTCGAACTGCCCTTTTTTCATCCCTTAATCTCAATTAGGAGGGGAGAGGTGAATTTTTAATTCGCGGGCGAATAGTGAAAAATCAGTGTGCGCTGCAAAAGAATTAGTTTTCTTACGGGCCCCTGAGTTTCACGGCAGTTTTTTTTTTGTTACAGAGATTAAGGGATGAAAGAGGGTTTATTGGTGGGGAATTTAATTCTCCGTCGAACTGCCGTTTTTTCATCCCTTAATCTCAATTAGGAGGGGAGAGGTGAATTTTTAATTACCGGGAGTCACTGTGCGCCGCAAAACAATTATTTTTCTTACTGCGCTGTGATTTTCATGACAGTTTCTTTCATTTTTTACAGAGATTAAGGGAGGAAAGAGGGTTAATTGATAGATAATTTATTTCTCCGTCAAACAGC